AGGGGGCCCTAAAAAGGCGGATATTGACGTATGGTCAAAAGACGTCCCAAGACGTCAGTTATATGACTTTTTGGGATGAGACAGTATATACACACGCACACACACATATATATTTACAAACTTTTATGTTCGACGATGCGATTATTCACGATTAATCGATTTCACAGCACTGGTATTTAGCATTTAAATATGTCAATATTTATTTAGTTTTGTTCATTTATTTTTATGTCCTCTGCAGTCAAACCAGTCTGCTTCCAGATGTTAGTATCCAACTGTTAATATCTAATGGTAGCATTTATGCTACATCCAGCTTTGCTTTCCAACAGATCTGTACAATGATCTTGCTTGTCTAAAGGTGGATTTGGGAGAGCCGTGTGTGATTAGAAATGGTTTGCATGAGCCCTCCTGTCAGTGTCAATGACATCCTTTGTTGCCAATATTTCCTCCTGTAGATCATGAATGGTTCTTCCTGCTCTGATCTAAGCTGTGAACCTACAACCACACGCATCCTACAACCATTATCTACATACCAAAACTAAACATTCACATCCTTCTCTCCTAAAGGCCTGCGTCGTAGTTTAATGCAATCTATAGGTCTTGGGAACAATATTCTTATTCAGTACTGAAGTTTGAAATATTTATGTAGCACAAAACAAATACATCGCACAACTTTTTGACATTCGTTCTTAACATTATGCAACATCATAAGGGCTCAATTGAATCCAGTAAATGGATGAGAAAGAATGTGTTGAGGGGAAAAAAACATTTGTTAATCATTGAATTTCCTTGTGCTTTTTAACTGAATACAGCTTTTAGGTTTGTACAACAATCACTAACCTAATGTAACTTCACACATTTACATGAGTCAATAAAGATTAGCCTCTACAAGGTTGACTGTTTTTTGCTTAAATCCTATTTAATATCCTAATATCTTTCTTGTAATCTAAATAAAAGTGCCACAAATAACACATTTTAATCCAGAGAAGCATTTGGTGAAGTTACCTCTCAGTGTCCTTTAAAACCTCAGTTAGTTCTGTTCATCAATTTCACTGCCTCTGCAATACGCTTCTCTCACATGTTAAATGCTGAGTCGTCTGTGCTCTGTGGTAGAGAAACTAAACTCCCTTTTTTAAACACCATGCAAGCATTTCCTGGTTTCTTCTTCTGCCACCACCGCCTTTTGACACCTTCAAAAGCTTGTCACAAAAAGTGACAAGTTAAGTTCAAAACGTTTTATAGCAGCCTATGTGACAAATTACGAACATCACCAGCTCTTAATATTTGAGTCGATACTATATCTTAATAATTTACAATTAAAATAGCACAAGCATCATGCTGCAGTATTAAACGCACTCTACACCGGGGTGATAATGGTGTGGGTTTGGTGTTAGTTTAGTCAGGACTGCAGTGCACAAGTATTGGTTATAGCAGCCTTGTTTACCATGAAAGCTTGACAACTTTTTCAAAGGGCAATGACTTTTAAAGCGTATACAGGGAAGTTGCATCAATGTTGATCTGTGATACAGAGGAAGGGGAAACAGTTCGTATCAGCATCAGTAAGCCGTACGAGTCAGATAATTACTGTTAAGCTTGTCTCTGTTTCACATCAGGGTTTTTTTCCAGGCAGATGTTGCACAAGTGTAACCATTTGTTGATTGAACCTATACTTCTTAAAAAGACCATAATTTCCTACTTAGTGTCAGGGCAGGTGCAAATTAATTTTAGGCCAAATCATGATGCATATATAATGTGTTATTTTTTTGCTGAGAATTTAGCATGCACACACATTAATGTACTCAGTCCCTATGGTTAGCAGTTTACTTGCTTTTCATTGTAAGTGATGTTGAGCATGAGGAACCTTCTAGAGTGTCCTGCGACTGTAAGGTTCCTGAATGATAAGTATGCAAGTATGGCTCATGTTTGGAGGGAGGGAAACGACAGCCTGGCGCATTAAACCACAATTTATCTACACCTCTGTGGTTACAATGGTTCATAATTTGCTTATTCACTTGGCTAAATAAAACTCAAACGAAACATTTAGTTATTTTAAGCAAAGTTATGCTTATTGTTTCATGTGGACAAAATTCAATTTAAATAGTATGATTATTCAGCTGAAGTCAGTTCATTTCAATAACTGTAAAAATATGAATTGAGTTAAATTCAACTAAGCAGCTCTACATTAGGCTGTCGTTATTCAGTTTGGGTCAGTTCAGTGTTAATTCAATTCAGTTCAATAACAGGGTTGATGTGGTGAAATTGGTCAATTATGACACAAAGTTGATTCAGCTATAAAACAGCCCTGAAGAAAACAGTGGTGTCGTAATCCAATTTCCTAAACTAATAATTTTATTAACAACATGTATCCATTACCTCAATGAGCTCAATGTTTCTGCCTTAAAAGTAATACATTATTTTAAATTAATACAATGTTAGCTATCTGCGGGATTATATGTACATTTCTGAAATCCATTACTTGGACAGTCACCTCTGATAACAGGTCACTCTAAATTGTAATGTAGACATGCATTTTCGGTAAAGCTGCTTTGAAATGATATGTTTTGTGAAAAGCGCTACACAAATAAATGTAAATTGAATTGAATCCAATTGAAGTTTTGTTCTTATCCAATTTCCAAATCAAAGTGTTTAGGTTTAACAATTGAAAAACTTTAACAATAATTTAAAATGAAATATAAAACAGGGCATAGCCTACTGAATGTCCCAAATAGTTATGAATGACATTAGAATATGACAGTAAATGTTATTCGATGGAATTTGAATTTGCATATGTTTACATCATTGAGATCCATCAAAATGGACTCTTTCATTATGTTATACAAATACAAAGCATAGATGTTAGATATTTTCTGACTGCATTGCACACAAAGGTGTGAATAGACATTTGTTTAAATGTTAGTTATGAATATTACAGTGTTAAAAACAGGTCTATGTCCACTATAATCAAGAGGTTCCCTCATAAATATGAGTTATTAATGACCAATTAGTTCCCCCATATCTTCCATGTTTGGTTACATTCTGGCTAAAAGAAGTGACATAGCGCATGTCTACAACATAAAAACACTAGCCTGATTCTTGTGTTCGTAATTGGTCACTTATTTTGGATTTCACTTTGAAGAAAGGCATCTGCAGTCATGAAGAAATATAAATACATAAAAAGCTGCACCCTATATAAATAACCCTTATTAATGATATTATCAACCCTGCAGTGTCTTTAAACCACTGTGGTAAATGCTGTGGTTATATTTAACATGAGTTAACTACAGTAATTAATAAGAATGAACAATACTTCTACAGCTTTTATCAATAGTTAATGCTAATTTCAACATTAAGTGATACATTATTAAAATAAAAAGTTGTATTTTGTTAACATTAGACAATGCAATGTGAACTAACACAAACAAACAATGAATAGTTGTATTTTTAACTGTTAACAAAGATTAATAAATACTGTAATAAAAAATATTGCTCATTGTTAGTTCATGTTGGCTAATACATTAAATAATGTTAAGAAATGAGATATTGTAACTATTGCCATTATTATTGTTAAGGAATGTTGATTTACTTACAAACAGCATTGCACAGAAAAGAAATAGGAGCTAAAATAGATTAGTCAGGTCAATTTAAAACACCATCATGGAGTGTGCCTCTATTACATTGTATTTAAAATCTCAAGTTCCTTTTTAATTAATAATTTAGGGTTAGATTGACCCAGGATTAGGACTTAAATTAGGATATTTAAGTAGCTTTTATGAACATGCCGTAGATAAAAGAATTACAGCATTGAGACAAAACAAAGGCACTGACATAATTTAAGACATGCCAGTGCAAATTAGTTTCAGTTAAAACAGCTCAAACGTGCATTTTACTCTGGGACTGGACTTAAACTTGTCTTTGAAACTGGACATTCGTGTTTGCTTTGGTTAGTCTCGTCTAATCTTTTCAAGCAACATTACTCAACGTCTGACCAGTCACAATTAATGGCAAATTGCACAATCTTACTCTTTGAGGGAGGAACAGTTTTCAGCTAATAAAGAAACTTTAAGATATCTTACCCAAGTTGTGTTTTATCCACTGTGATCTGGCACCAGGATGAAGACAGACTGAGTGCAGGTTATTAAACTGGACTGTGAACGTGATCAACATTGGACAAAACTCCACCCAACCACAGGACTCTTGTTACTCAGTTCCCCTTTTGCTTCCTGCTCATTTTCATACTGTCGCTCATGCAGGGCTGCCGTTAATGCTTTCTGTTGATGATACTCAAGTGTGCCGCATCTAACTGACCTGTCCACAACTCTGATAATCAGTTTCATAAGGCTGAATCCGATTGATACAAAGCCTACCAGACTCTTTCGAATAATAAGACAATTACAAATGGTTTCTAAATTGTTATAGCACCAACTATTCAGAAAACAAGTACATGAAATTTGGATGGTTTGAATATTTGTTGTTATCAATAAAGTAAGTTAATGTAGGCTACTGTAATGGCTTGATCTTAGTGGACACATTCGTTTTGCTCTCACATGTCAACCATTCATGTATAAAATACATAATTCCAAAAAAACATTTGGGTGATTTTTGGCCATATGCCACAATACCACCAATTTATGCAAGTGTGGTGCATAGGAATGAACCTTATTACCCACTTGGCAAACAAGTCATGCGCCTCCACAACACATGGTGGTGCTATTACACAATGTATTCAAAGCAAATTAAATTAGCTTAACATTTATGACTTGGTTAAATGTTATTTATCTTTGTTATTAAAACACACACTTATTAGTTCTTGGAAAGGAATTGAGCTATTTCATAAAATAAATGTAACATTTTGGTGGTTAAGGGTTTTAACCTATTTTTTTGTTTGTTTAAATACATTCTGTTGTGTAAATGTCATTAAGATAGTGTGTGCATTCATCGAGAAACAATTTAAATTTTCAATAAAGTGTGTTGAAATGATTTAATTAGCCTTAGTGAGTCAAAAGTATCAAAAGAAAAGTTACCCATTTTATTCCAACAATTCCATGTTTTCAAACACAACACATCATTTTTGATAATTTGACATTTGTTGGTACAGAAAATCGTATTATTGGTATTATAAAAACTAGTGTTTTATGCCAGTATGACAAGTGTTTATAAGAACATGAGAATTAGATTGAGTAGATGGCTAAATACAGCATTTGATTCATAATAATTGCATACATTTCAGGCCAAGCCCTAAGCTGCCAAATGATTAGTAAAATCCCTGAGGTTCTTTATGCATGTTAAATTGACGGTACAACTCTTTAACACATTGTAAGTTTTCATATGATGTAGAACAGATCATGGATGACTGAGACGATTTCTGTAGTAGTTCATTTCTAGTCAACCGAAAACATTGATAGGCTGGGTAATACAGGTGTGTAAGTATAAACTCTGTCGGTGTTAGAGTTAAAGTGAGTTGTGTTTGTTTTAAAGTACAACAAATGATATAACTACAACTTTTTTTTAAATTTGATTTGATTAATTTTGATTAAAAAATTAAAACATGGATTCTATAGCTGTATTCAAAAGGAAAAAAAATTCTCAATAAAAAAAAAAATATCAGGAAGTATAACTCGATCACATCAGTGCAACAGTGAATTTTCTATGTTTCCATACCATTTGTTTTGCAAATCATGTCTTCATGTATAGCTTTTGATAGGATTGACAATGAGAAGTGTCGTGCCTGTAGGATTGACTTGGACCATCACATTTGACAAGAGATCCTGAACACCCATTTCCTGGTACATGGGGAGGATCTGAATTACGTTGCACTTCGGATTGCAGAGCTGCCAACTAGGCAGCGTTGCCACAGAAATGGTAAATCGGCGTGGACCACCAATCTCCTGTCTATTCATCACTGCCATGGCCAGCCTGTTGCCAGACAAGGGCCGTTCCCACACCTCAAAACTATCAGCCTGTGAACAGGGAATAAATGCATTCCAGCTGAGCTCACAGACAGATACCGTAATGAAACAAATGGTGGGTTAAGACCGTAATTTAGTTGTAAAGTGGGCTAAGATGCTTCACCTTTAATGTACGATAGCCCTGCTTCCCCAGAGGGTCCTGGTTAATGGCAATGATGTATTTGTTCTGCAAAAGTTCTTTGGCTTTGGGACAGATGTTTCGCAGGTCGTTGGACATCAGAAGCGGGGCAGCCATGATAGCCCACAAGGCCATCTGAGTCTGCTGCTGATCGTGGCTCAGACCGAAGTTCCCAATGATCAGCTTGAGGCATCATAACCAGAAATAAGATATGACTTAAAGTTTTTTTGCACAGAGCTTATTTTAAATTACCAATGTAAATTTGTGATTGTGATTTAACAGTAATGTTAAATGAATATGCTTCATACCATGTCAGGGTCATTCCATCCACCTGGTCCTGCCGCTGGAACCAGGATCTTCTGATGATCAGCCGTCCAGTCCAGAATGCCCGTTACACTTGTCCACTGGTCATACACATCTCCATAGTTACGCCAGTGGTTACAGGTCTTGCGAATTGCTTCATAGTCAGGCTGACAAAAGATACAGAAAACACTTTTCTAAGCAATATTTAAGAAAATTAATTCTACTTTTTGAAGCATTATTTGAATCCACTTAGAAAAATGCTAGTAGTTAGTTTATTATATTTAAAGGATAGTCCAACCAAAATTGAAATGTATTTCATTAATATGTCATTCCAAAACTGTATGACTTTCTATCTTATTCGGAACAAAAAATAAGAATGTTGTTCACAGTGTGTTTTGGATCCCATTGACTTCCATTTTATGGATAAAAAAACTTTTTAAACTGTATGGTTATCAACATTACTCAAAATATCTTCTGAATCAGTTGCACAGAAGAAAGAAAATCATACAAATCTTGAATGACATGATTTTTATATTTGGGTGGACTATCCCACAATTGTAGCAATGTTGTGAAAGTAAAAAGTTACTTCACCTTATATTAAAATATCTCCATGTGTCTCACCTGTTGGTGTTGCCACTCATATAATGGCCATTCACAGGAGTATACAATACTTCTACCTGTCTGGTTTAGAGCTCTCGACATGTTCATATAACCTAAGAAACATCCAGATGGTGTAGTACAACACAGAATTTCTTAGGAAAACTCTGAATTTTTTTTTGCAAATCCACTTACCTTCTCCCAGCTGATGCCAGTCAGGCATGAAACATCCGTCAAATTTCAACAGATCCACACCCCAGTCAGCAAAGGTTTTAGCATCAATATCATAGTATCCCAAACTCCCAGGGTAGCCTGCACATGTCTTCGTGCCAACATCTGCATATACTCCCAGCTTTAGACCTTTGGCATGGACCTGAGAACACAATAAACCTTCTTAAATATACATTCACCTTACAATTTATAGTACATTAAGACAGAAGTGAGTTTAACTGTAATAGAAGCAAAACAACAGTAGGGGGCGATATATAACAAACAATTTTTTTTTGGAGCAGCCAAGTTATAGCAAGTTATTGCCCTGTGGAAAGTTAAGTGTATGCTAATTCACCTTTGAGATGACATTTATGTGGACATAAAGGCATTAAAGGTTGCACATAATCATGTAAATCCTAAAATTGGCATATATGTAACCATATATGCTTTTTTTCTGCCACAAACACCACACATTTATTATCAAATTAATTTATTATTTTAAATTTTATTTGATTATTTTAATTAAGCAGAATATCACCGCTGCTTCTTTTGATCCCTCCTTTTTAACAAAAGCAGATATTAACCAGAGCCTTCAAGCCATCTTCGTAGGCGATATGATGCTTTTTGTGGACAATATATTAAATATTTTACTTCAAACTGAAAATCATAAGTTGTTTACATGACATAAGGGCTAGTAGATTTAAAAAATGCTGTCAATTCTAGGCAATGCCTCATGTGAGCCAGATGCAGCCCGCATCTAGACTTTTATGATGCCAACATATACCCACATAATCAGCCAACTTTTTGATCCCACTTGGAAACCTCTTTGGGTCAGCCTGAAGACGCCCCTGAGCGTCCCTCTCGTGTGAGGGCCAGCAATCATCAATGCACACAAACTCATATCCAGCCTCCTTCCATCCCTCTTTCACCATCACATCTGCCATCTCCATGAACAGCTCCTCTCTGCCAGGACACACAAGGGCATTAGGAAGAGGGTATCATGGTCGAACATCTGCCCACTGTACTTGACAGATTGTCTGTGTGTGTAAGTGTGAAAACAGCATCTGTTCTAAAGAGTATGAGACCCATAACTGTACTTTGCCCTCTTGAAAATATGATATTACATCACATGCTTCAGCTGTCTTGACACTCATGTGACATCAGTATTTCTTCATCCTTCTCCTCATTCTCTTAATTGTCATGTAATTCTCCAATGATACCATTTTATGCATAAAAATATCAGTTTTACGTAAAAATAGATGTTTGGGAATTTCACTTCATCTACTATATTACATAACCATTTAAAAAGATTCTTGATTACCACAGGAGCATTTAAAATAAATTAGTGAAGCTTAAAAGGTAGTTAAAACTTTATTTAATTTTTTATTGTAGGTGACCAGTCACCAGACGTGTCAGTCACAACACATTCACATAGTTTATGTTTATAACAACTCTGAACATTGGGCCAACTACTTATTTACCTTGTGAATCTCCTTTTTTGTCTTCCTTCCTTTTTTTTTTTTTTTTTTTTTTTTTTTTTACTTTCCTTCATACAAAAATTACTGTAGCAGAATCACGTGATATAATTCCATAGCATAGTCTGGCATATACTATAGTACTGACTAATTACCATATTCATATACAGACCATATATTAAAATACACACTAAATAATACTTTTTAGTATGCACATTTGCAGTCATCAGGTCACGCGCTCACCTAATGCAGTTCTGAGGATCCGCATCACAGTCGATGTTGCACATAAATCTCTCCCAATGTAACCAACCCATGGTCGGAGTTAACGCCAGGCCATTATCCAGCGCCAAAGCAGGGAATAAAGACACAAGCCCGACAAAGACTATATTTGACACACTCATGTTAGTTTGCGCTGATGAATGTCTGAATCTAAAGGCAACAGATTGTTACACTTCCGTGTTCACGGCGTGTCGCTCAGGTCAGGTGTAAACCTGACGTCACACGCAGGCTCCCACCAAACCAAAACCCACAAACGATTTCATTTCTTGGCTATTTATTGGATTGTGATAGTGTTTTGTCTTTTACAAACAACGAGAAGTTAAAATACGCACAATTATCTGAGCACTGCTGAGTTAAACACATTAAGTGTTGACGTCTGTAACGTCTGTTGTCTCAAACGCTGATGTAATGTATTTTCTAAAAATTACAGTTTGCTACTCCGGAATCGTTTTACAGAAGGTATTGTGTGGAAAAAGGTTTGGCTTGTACCTAATCAATATTTAATTACAAACAAAGTTAAGGAGGTAGCCTATCATATAAATTGATACATGGACTATACTGTAAAACAGTACTTTATAAAATGTATGTGATATTGATGTTAATTGTAACTTTTGGTGACAGTTGCCCTGAAACTGTGGTTCATTTATTTTGGCATTGCCTATTTGTTAGACCATTTTGGCAAAGTGTCTGTGATTTTATCACAAAAAACATTGATGACCAATTTATGTTGTTTTGGAAGCATTTTATTTGGTATTTGGAAGAACAGAATTAAGCACAATCAGAATGATTTAATTAATTTCATTCTTTTAATGGCAACATTTTATGTCCATAAATGCAAATTCTCCTATAAAAAACTAATTTTATTTTATTTAGGAAAGAAATTGAGCTTTATATTGATTCAGTCCGATTTTCTTTGAAGCAAAAAGCAATTAAAACATTGAATATATGCAAATGTTATAATATCTTCATATAAGTTTACAATACCCCCCTAGTATGAAAGACTTTGTAATATCTATGTTGTATGTTCATTTTGCTGTATAAATATCTGTACTAAGATTGTTCTTTAAAAAAAAAATATTGGTGAGTTGGGATTCCCAAACAAAAACATTTTAAGCATGGAATTACTATGGGAGTAATTTATTAACCAATTTTTTTTATGACATGTGTAGGTCTAGAAGAGCTGTGTAAAAACACGACGCAACAGATTGCCATGACAAGAAGACGTATATAGGTATGTGGACAAAAAAATAATTAAATAAAACTCAACAAATAGACAAATGGATAGTATATGTGGAAAGACCTGGGTACCCCCTTTAAAAAAAAGTAAATATGTCAAGTATGAAGAAAGTTACAACATTTTATAGTTAAGTAATCAGCGCCTATTATTGTCCCATTTCTAAGGTGAAAAAAAAAATAGAATTTAGTGTGACCGAAAACAAGTTGTTTTTTCACAAAAATGCTCATAGCTAACTTTTTTCAATATTCAAGATATCTTAATGAAATTTTCTGTGGAGATGGGTTTCATATAGTTATTTGGATCTAACGTGTCAACTTGATTTTAACACACATAAAGACTGATTTGGCCTATCTTTTATGGTATTTTTCTGATGAGCAGTTGTTGAAAATACAAATAATTGAATGGAAAACAACGATCCAAGGAAAATTCTATATCCTTAATTTAAAAGATGGATTTTGGTTGATTCCAGTTGTGTAAGAATAGAGTTAACAATACTAACGCTCGTGGAGGAAAGAAAGTGGAGGAGACCACACAAAAGATGTGTGTAGCCTACACGACGCGCTGCATTTTGACAGCTCTTCTACAGGTAACGTTTAGTGTCGGTAGTCATAAAAAAGTGGGGGAGTGTAAATGGCCACAAAATTTTGTACAGCATACCACAAACATATGTTCTTCATGTCCACTTTCCTCTGAAAAGTGTCCAAAGTGGGTAAAAATAATTTCTTGACAGTTGAATTCTTCCGTCTTGTTTGAAATCGCCTTTCAGGAGGAAAATGCAGCCTGACTAGAAAAAATTGTAAACAAATGTGCAGTCGAAAACCCTAATGATGTGATTGGCTAAAAATAAACAAGGATACCCACAGTGAGTCAATGAAAACAGCGCATTTGAAGAGACCCGCTCAGATTCGGGAAAATCCGGCACAGAGATTGGGAACACAATGGCGGCCGCTATTTATTGATATGTCAACACACCTAACGTATAAGTCTTAAAATCGAAAATATAACTAGTACCTCCCAAATCGTAGTATGTTGAAATGAGTGTTCCAAAGATGTCCGGATGGTCTACATTCTCATATAGCCTACTTCTTTAAGTTAAACTAAACTCTTATTTTGACGGGTTGCCGCGAAGACCTTCGAGTTGTGCGTGTATGACGATCGTTTTTCTCAAATGAAATGGTAAAATGCTCATGAAGTGACTCTCGGGGTTAAAATGGAATTGGCTTTATGCACAGCTGCACTACTTCCTGAACTTAAGCCAGCTCCTTGTTTCCTGTCTGTCATTATTGGACAAATTGATTAGTTCAGGTGTGCGTGACCTCAGTAGTCACGGCAACAATAATCAGACACACCTGAATTAATCAAGTTCGGCCAATAATGGCAGACAGGAAACAAGGAGCTGGCTTAAGTTCAGGAAGTAGTGCAGCTGTGCATAAGGTCAATTATGAATCATGTCGCCGCCTTTCCACTGCACACGACAAACGATCGCCGTCGGACCGAATCGTATGCGAATGTCGTGTGCAGTGGAAAGGCGGCTTGTGTTGTAACGTTAAATGAAACCGCGCGGCTGCGCGTTCATTCACACAGAGACAAACAGAACGTGAAGGGTTCATATTTAAATAGTCTTCTTGCAGTTTACAGTTTTTTTCGATTGCTAAACGACAGTGAGCATGACTGGAGCTAAATGTGCAAAACTCTAACTACAGTCTGCATTACCAACAGTCACCTGAGCACAACTCTTAACACATGGCTCAAAACAGGCTCAGTGTGCACAACATTATGCACAACCCTCACTGAGATAACACACACTGTCACACAGAACACACTGAGAGGAAAAACAGTAGCATCAAACACCAATGCAGAAAATCCAAACTTTTCATCTTTACAGTTTCAACAATTTCACACTTCATAGAAAGTAATATTTTCTTCAAAGAAAACAGTGACATTCTTTCATTTGATATTTTTACATTTTTAGAACATAACAATTGAAAATTAGCAGTTTGCTTCAATAGTCTGTAGTAATTTACAGAATTACAGTAAAAGTACATACTGTAATACTGTAACCCTGCCTCTCTCGAGCATTATGCCACACGTTTTCATCCTTTCAGCTGAAATTGTTTGAAAATCAGCAGTGTGTGAAAGGCACAAAGCTGACATTTATTCTGTTTTGAATGAGTGGTTCACAGTTTTGACAGCAGTGTGTTAGCATTTGAACAAAGTGCTGTAAATCCACAGTGTTGTGCAGGTTGTGTTTAAAGTCATGGGATAAGTGTGTAAGTTTTGAAAACTGTGTTCAAGCAATGAAAAACGATCTAGAGTTTGGTCCACATGAACTGCTGCTGTGCAGACTGTAGTTAGAGTTTTGGTAATGTAGCTCCAGTTGTGCTCCACTGTGGTTTAGCAATCGAAAAAAACTGTAATATACACTGAAACCACATCAGCAGCGCCGCCGGTCGCCGTGTTTCAGCACTTTCATGAAGAGGGCACAACTTCACGCACTTCACGCCATAGGCCAGCAAGGCAATATTTGCGATTGTGTCCCCTTTGGTTGCACTCATGGAGGATCAGGTTAAGGAGGCAGCAAAACTCGGTCAGCCGTTCACTCTCAATGGTTTCGTTGGTTTTGTTTACCGTGGAAGTTCGAGGCGGCTGAGCTGGTGAATAACACATGTCATAACCAAACGTTATGTGATTGGCTTACAGGTAACCAATGATTTTATACTTTACACAAGAAAGGTGAGAAAGAAAACACTTTTCAATTATGCCATTCTAGACTCTGTCTACGAAGCAAAGCAAAGTAGCAGAGTTTGGTGTTACCAGGCTCCCGGGTTAATACTTCCTTAACGTTACCTCCTGTGCTTTCGTTGTGTGCACTGAAAAAGGTGGTAGTTATAAATGACAAAACTGACCGTTATCATTATAACAGGAATAGCATTAGGAGTGTTTGCTGAACATTCCAGATCTTTGCTAATTTATTTCTTGCTAAATCATTTTACTTCGATTGATTCACTAAATACAGACGCATGTTATTTTCAAAGATAAATGTTTACTAGGAAAAGAAAGATCTTGGCAGCGATTCTTTGCATGATTAATCACACAGTCCATAATCTACCATTGCTTTAATATGAAATTCTGCATTTCATGCCTAAAAATTGACTATTTGTGGGGGAAAGTCTGTCCTTTTCCCAAATGTCTAGAGTTTGGGTAACCCTAATATCATCCTAAATATTTTACCAAGGGTAGCCTTGATAAACACTATTTATCACTCACAAAGCCAAAGCATTGGTGCAAAGGCCTCCACATGTCATAGTTAAATTTTTCTTGGACTTCTTGATGGATGGACTAGCCATAGGTCTGGCAAGAGAACTGGTTTCAGTAGTGTGGCAGGATCCTGGTTTGCAGCAGTGATATATTCTTCAATGTTTAATGTTTGCTCCATTGCATGGAAGCAACTGTCTATCTCCACCTCTGCTGTGTATTTTTTTCAAAGGATGGATTGTGGAGGCTCACATTTCTCCTTGGGCCCCAAATGCCTATCCATCACATTTCATTTTGCCACTGTGCCATTTAATTGAACAGGTTGTCACCTCTGGCTTATATATTGACATGTTATGAAATAACGGATAAAAATGGAAAGGAGTCAGGGGAACAAGAGGGATTGGTGGGAGGCTCTGCTGTGTGTGTGTGTGTGTGTGTGTGTGTGTGTGTGTGTGTGTGTGTGTGTGTGTGTGTGTGTGTGTGTGTGTGTGTGTGCTTGTGTGTGTGTGTGTGTGTCTTTTATTGTAGTTTGTAAGATTTGATTTATCAGGATCAGCTATACTGGATGAAATAAATACGCATTGGTAATTCAGATGTTTGTGTTAGTGTGCATATCATTTATTTAAGGGTTGAAAGTACTGGAAAGTGCCTAATTACCTTTTCAGTTCATTTCACTTCCACTTCCTCTTTGTTAATTTGTAATATTTCACTGCCTGCTGAGCCATTAATCTTGGAACTGGTTGTACCCAACTGATATTGGAAGATGGTTTCAACACCCCCCACCCCCACTTTTCAGTGCTCTTGTTTATGAAGATGCCTGTCAAATGAGCAACCTCAGAAATTATGGTCTTAATTATAATCTTATTGTTGGGTTGCTTTGAAAATGGTTTCCAATGATGGTTTGTTTTTTTATTACTCTCCAACATTATTAACAATGATCTCATTGTAACTCCTTCACTGAAGAGTTACAAGGCTGATGTGAGAAAGCTCTAGTATATTTTGAGAAAATCAATTTTAATATTTTGATCAATACACGATCTCGCTTGCAGTCCTCCAAAGCAGAGTGAACAGAAATGACCTTCTTGAATGGTATGATTATTGTACTATAATAGTGTGGCCTTTTACAATCTACTTTTTGTAAAGACTAATCTTTTGCTCGTGTAGTAATTAGATAGAACTGCTTATTTCTGTGGTGTTGCCAGGTAAATAAGACACAGTGAATTCAATGAACAACAAAACTGGTGGCGTAATCCAAGAAATATAGGAATTTTCCTCCCTTCTCACTCAGAGGAAAATCCAAAGAGCTTTTCAATCTAATGGGTGTTGCAAAAGCTATATGGTTATACTGTAGCACATGCATTTAAGGAAAACATTTAAAACGGCAAAATAATTGTTGGGATGTTTTTTAGTTTGGTTTCATTGATAGCGTTTCTTTATGCTGTGATTTGTGTTGGATGTTTCAGTAATGGCAGGTGTTTCATGTTTGTTCATAAATATGTACATTGTGCACAATTGTTATTCTGTCTTTTTTATTTGTGTTTGTTGTGAGACACACTTGTACCAAACTTAAAGAACCACACTAAACCGTTTTGCTAGATCTTGTTTGTTTTACTCTAAAACACTTATGGAAATATCCAAGGCCTCCTTCACACTGCAGTGTGTTTACCCAGTGATTATTGGTATTTGCTACATCAAATTGCATTTAATTTGCGATTACGTTGAGCCCTTAGAATGTAACT